ATACACAGCCCTGCCTGGGCGAGGCAGCACGTGTACGAACAAGTGCTTTGAGACGTACGGACGTAGGGACGTAGAAGGGTTCTCAAAACACTTGTTCATACACAGCCCCGCCTGGGCGAGGCAGCACGTGTACGAACAAGTGCTTTGAGACGTACGGACGTAGGGACGTAGAAGGGTTCTCAAAACACTTGTTCATACACAGCCCCGCCTGGGCGAGGCAGCACGTGTACGAACAAGTGCTTTGAGACGTACGGACGTAGGGACGTAGAAGGGTTCTCAAAACACTTGTTCATACACAGCCCTGCCTGGGCGAGGCAGCACGTGTACGAACAAGTGCTTTGAGACGTACGGACGTAGGGACGTAGAAGGGTTCTCAAAACACTTGTTCATACACAGCCCCGCCTGGGCGAGGCAGCACGTGTACGAACAAGTGCTTTGAGACGTACGGACGTAGGGACGTAGAAGGGTTCTCAAAACACTTGTTCATACACAGCCCCGCCTGGGCGAGGCAGCACGTGTACGAACAAGTGCTTTGAGACGTACGGACGTAGGGACGTAGAAGGGTTCTCAAAACACTTGTTCATACACAGCCCCGCCTGGGCGAGGCAGCACGTGTACGAACAAGTGCTTTGAGACGTACGGACGTAGGGACGTAGAAGGGTTCTCAAAACACTTGTTCATACACAGCCCCGCCTGGGCGAGGCAGCACGTGTACGAACAAGTGCTTTGAGACGTACGGACGTAGGGACGTAGAAGGGTTCTCAAAACACTTGTTCATACACAGCCCCGCCTGGGCGAGGCAGCACGTGTACGAACAAGTGCTTTGAGACGTACGGACGTAGGGACGTAGAAGGGTTCTCAAAACACTTGTTCATACACAGCCCCGCCTGGGCGAGGCAGCACGTGTACGAACAAGTGCTTTGAGACGTACGGACGTAGGGACGTAGAAGGGTTCTCAAAACACTTGTTCATACACAGCCCCGCCTGGGCGAGGCAGCACGTGTACGAACAAGTGCTTTGAGACGTACGGACGTAGGGACGTAGAAGGGTTCTCAAAACACTTGTTCATACACAGCCCCGCCTGGGCGAGGCAGCACGTGTACGAACAAGTGCTTTGAGACGTACGGACGTAGGGACGTAGAAGGGTTCTCAAAACACTTGTTCATACACAGCCCCGCCTGGGCGAGGCAGCACGTGTACGAACAAGTGCTTTGAGACGTACGGACGTAGGGACGTAGAAGGGTTCTCAAAACACTTGTTCATACACAGCCCCGCCTGGGCGAGGCAGCACGTGTACGAACAAGTGCTTTGAGACGTACGGACGTAGGGACGTAGAAGGGTTCTCAAAACACTTGTTCATACACAGCCCCGCCTGGGCGAGGCAGCACGTGTACGAACAAGTGCTTTGAGACGTACGGACGTAGGGACGTAGAAGGGTTCTCAAAACACTTGTTCATACACAGCCCCGCCTGGGCGAGGCAGCACGTGTACGAACAAGTGCTTTGAGACGTACGGACGTAGGGACGTAGAAGGGTTCTCAAAACACTTGTTCATACACAGCCCCGCCTGGGCGAGGCAGCACGTGTACGAACAAGTGCTTTGAGACGTACGGACGTAGGGACGTAGAAGGGTTCTCAAAACACTTGTTCATACACAGCCCCGCCTGGGCGAGGCAGCACGTGTACGAACAAGTGCTTTGAGACGTACGGACGTAGGGACGTAGAAGGGTTCTCAAAACACTTGTTCATACACAGCCCCGCCTGGGCGAGGCAGCACGTGTACGAACAAGTGCTTTGAGACGTACGGACGTAGGGACGTAGAAGGGTTCTCAAAACACTTGTTCATACACAGCCCCGCCTGGGCGAGGCAGCACGTGTACGAACAAGTGCTTTGAGACGTACGGACGTAGGGACGTAGAAGGGTTCTCAAAACACTTGTTCATACACAGCCCCGCCTGGGCGAGGCAGCACGTGTACGAACAAGTGCTTTGAGACGTACGGACGTAGGGACGTAGAAGGGTTCTCAAAACACTTGTTCATACACAGCCCCGCCTGGGCGAGGCAGCACGTGTACGAACAAGTGCTTTGAGACGTACGGACGTAGGGACGTAGAAGGGTTCTCAAAACACTTGTTCATACACAGCCCCGCCTGGGCGAGGCAGCACGTGTACGAACAAGTGCTTTGAGACGTACGGACGTAGGGACGTAGAAGGGTTCTCAAAACACTTGTTCATACACAGCCCCGCCTGGGCGAGGCAGCACGTGTACGAACAAGTGCTTTGAGACGTACGGACGTAGGGACGTAGAAGGGTTCTCAAAACACTTGTTCATACACAGCCCCGCCTGGGCGAGGCAGCACGTGTACGAACAAGTGCTTTGAGACGTACGGACGTAGGGACGTAGAAGGGTTCTCAAAACACTTGTTCATACACAGCCCTGCCTGGGCGAGGCAGCACGTGTACGAACAAGTGCTTTGAGACGTACGGACGTAGGGACGTAGAAGGGTTCTCAAAACACTTGTTCATACACAGCCCCGCCTGGGCGAGGCAGCACGTGTACGAACAAGTGCTTTGAGACGTACGGACGTAGGGACGTAGAAGGGTTCTCAAAACACTTGTTCATACACAGCCCCGCCTGGGCGAGGCAGCACGTGTACGAACAAGTGCTTTGAGACGTACGGACGTAGGGACGTAGAAGGGTTCTCAAAACACTTGTTCATACACAGCCCCGCCTGGGCGAGGCAGCACGTGTACGAACAAGTGCTTTGAGACGTACGGACGTAGGGACGTAGAAGGGTTCTCAAAACACTTGTTCATACACAGCCCCGCCTGGGCGAGGCAGCACGTGTACGAACAAGTGCTTTGAGACGTACGGACGTAGGGACGTAGAAGGGTTCTCAAAACACTTGTTCATACACAGCCCCGCCTGGGCGAGGCAGCACGTGTACGAACAAGTGCTTTGAGACGTACGGACGTAGGGACGTAGAAGGGTTCTCAAAACACTTGTTCATACACAGCCCCGCCTGGGCGAGGCAGCACGTGTACGAACAAGTGCTTTGAGACGTACGGACGTAGGGACGTAGAAGGGTTCTCAAAACACTTGTTCATACACAGCCCCGCCTGGGCGAGGCAGCACGTGTACGAACAAGTGCTTTGAGACGTACGGACGTAGGGACGTAGAAGGGTTCTCAAAACACTTGTTCATACACAGCCCCGCCTGGGCGAGGCAGCACGTGTACGAACAAGTGCTTTGAGACGTACGGACGTAGGGACGTAGAAGGGTTCTCAAAACACTTGTTCATACACAGCCCCGCCTGGGCGAGGCAGCACGTGTACGAACAAGTGCTTTGAGACGTACGGACGTAGGGACGTAGAAGGGTTCTCAAAACACTTGTTCATACACAGCCCCGCCTGGGCGAGGCAGCACGTGTACGAACAAGTGCTTTGAGACGTACGGACGTAGGGACGTAGAAGGGTTCTCAAAACACTTGTTCATACACAGCCCCGCCTGGGCGAGGCAGCACGTGTACGAACAAGTGCTTTGAGACGTACGGACGTAGGGACGTAGAAGGGTTCTCAAAACACTTGTTCATACACAGCCCCGCCTGGGCGAGGCAGCACGTGTACGAACAAGTGCTTTGAGACGTACGGACGTAGGGACGTAGAAGGGTTCTCAAAACACTTGTTCATACACAGCCCCGCCTGGGCGAGGCAGCACGTGTACGAACAAGTGCTTTGAGACGTACGGACGTAGGGACGTAGAAGGGTTCTCAAAACACTTGTTCATACACAGCCCCGCCTGGGCGAGGCAGCACGTGTACGAACAAGTGCTTTGAGACGTACGGACGTAGGGACGTAGAAGGGTTCTCAAAACACTTGTTCATACACAGCCCCGCCTGGGCGAGGCAGCACGTGTACGAACAAGTGCTTTGAGACGTACGGACGTAGGGACGTAGAAGGGTTCTCAAAACACTTGTTCATACACAGCCCCGCCTGGGCGAGGCAGCACGTGTACGAACAAGTGCTTTGAGACGTACGGACGTAGGGACGTAGAAGGGTTCTCAAAACACTTGTTCATACACAGCCCCGCCTGGGCGAGGCAGCACGTGTACGAACAAGTGCTTTGAGACGTACGGACGTAGGGACGTAGAAGGGTTCTCAAAACACTTGTTCATACACAGCCCCGCCTGGGCGAGGCAGCACGTGTACGAACAAGTGCTTTGAGACGTACGGACGTAGGGACGTAGAAGGGTTCTCAAAACACTTGTTCATACACAGCCCCGCCTGGGCGAGGCAGCACGTGTACGAACAAGTGCTTTGAGACGTACGGACGTAGGGACGTAGAAGGGTTCTCAAAACACTTGTTCATACACAGCCCCGCCTGGGCGAGGCAGCACGTGTACGAACAAGTGCTTTGAGACGTACGGACGTAGGGACGTAGAAGGGTTCTCAAAACACTTGTTCATACACAGCCCCGCCTGGGCGAGGCAGCACGTGTACGAACAAGTGCTTTGAGACGTACGGACGTAGGGGCGTAGAAGGGTTCTCAAAACACTTGTTCATACACAGCCCCGCCTGGGCGAGGCAGCACGTGTACGAACAAGTGCTTTGAGACGTACGGACGTAGGGACGTAGAATGGTTCTCAAAACACTTGTTCATACACAGCCCCGCCTGGGCGAGGTAGCACATGTACGAACAAGTGCTTTGAGACGTACGGACGTAGGGACGTAGAAGGGTTCTCAAAACACTTGTTCATACACAGCCCCGCCTGGGCGAGGTAGCACGTGTACGAACAAGTGCTTTGAGACGTACGGACGTAGGGACGTAGAAGGGTTCTCAAAACACTTGTTCATACACAGCCCCGCCTGGGCGAGGTAGCACACGAGGATGTTTGCTCCCATCCCAGTGACCAGCCGGCCGCATAGAGGCCGAGAGACGGCAGAGAGGTGGTGCAGTGGGGGCATGACATGGCAGGATGGCAATTGGTAGAGAAGTAACTACCTGCGCCAGGTAGCGCACGAGGATGTTGGCTCCCAGAGACCATCCGGCCGCATAGAGGCGGGAGAGCGGCTGGAGCGCTGCCACGTGGCGCACCACCTGCCGTAGATCCTCGGTGAAGGATGCTGAGTAGAACTGGAGAGGGGATGAACAGGGGAGCGTGGGAGAGAGGGGAGAGTGTGTGAGAGGGCGGACTATCGATTCCTCTCATGTGGCGCACCACCTGCCGTAGATCCTCGGTGAACGATGCTGAGTAGAACTGGGGAGGAGGGGCACGGGGCATGTAGCAGTAGAGCTGACTGTTGTGGCATCGTGCATGGGGCATGTGGCATGCATGTGGCGCGCATGTGGCATGCATGTGGCATGCATGTGGCATGGGGCATGCAGGATGCTGGCATGAAGTGAATCACCTGCGGCGAGGTAACAGGGCTGTTAGCGCAGCCTCTGGAGTTGAAGACCACTGTGCCCCATCCCACCCGCCTTGCGGCTTGAGAGGAAGCATGCGGCTTGTGGCATCCGGCTTGTGGCATGCAGGACAAAGAATACTGACATCACATGAATCATCACAGCACCGTGGGTGGGGGTCGCCTACATTACTTTTGAGAATTCTCAAAAGGTCGCCTACAGGGTAATCACCTGGGGCGAGGTGACAGGGCTGTTAGCGCAGCCACGCGAGTTGAAGACCACCGTGCCCCACCCCGCCCGCCTGGCCCGCACCAGCATGTGCCTCACGTACGTGTCGCCACTGCCGCCTGTCAGCCCGGGCTGTGATGGTTTGGGAAGAGAAGGGTGGATGCACGATTGGGACGGAGATGAGATGAGATGAAATGAGATGAGATGAAATGAGATGAGATGAAATGAAAGGATTGGGTGGATATATGCATGCATGTGCCACTGTCCCCTTCACCCCGGGCTGTTGGGTGGGGTGGGGAGGGTGGAAGAAGTGCAAAGGTGGGGTGAGAGCAGTCACAGGCTAGCATGTGCAACACATATATGTCGCCACTGCCCCCTGTCAACCTGGGCAGATGGGTGGGTGAGGGAAAAGGGGCGAGCATGCACGAGTGGGAGGGAGACGAGGTGAGAGAGAGAGGACATATTCAGCAGATGCACATGTCCCTCACCTCGTCTATGGTGCATGCACGAAGGGGAAAAGGGGACATATGCATGTGCTCAATACATGTGTCACCACTGCCGCCCGTCAACCTGGGCTGCAAGGGTGTGGGAGAGTGGTGAGATACTGTGAAGAGGCGGGATGCGATGAGCAGTGCTACAGAGCCTGTGGTACAGTGTACACCTTGCAGTGATCTACAGTAATTATTGCTAAACAATAGCAAACAACTCACCAGAAGAATCAGCCAGGGAGTGCCAGGTGGCACCTCGCCATTGGCCGACGTGCCTTCCAGCGCCTCGCCCCCTATCGGCCAATCAAGAGCCACCGTGCCGCCATCCGCCATTCTCAAGCACTCCCTTCTGAACCGCACGGCAGGCAGGGAGCGCGCCACGGCTGCAAAGATGGTCTCCACGTGGCAGTTCGCCAGTGGTCCAAAGAACGGCCTGTACTGGAAAGTTGGGAAAAGGGTGGGAAGAGGTTGCTGGTGTCAGTTTCAGTTTCAGTTTCACCATGTTTTTTTAGCACGCCACGCGAGCAGATGTGTTCCAGTTTTTCTTCTACTCTTCCTTAGTCAGTGCTTGTCAATGCAATCACCTGTAAGGTTCTTGTAACGAGGGGAGCTGCCACGTCAGCTCCTGATGCACCTCTCCGTTCCCCCCAACCAGTTTAAGCCCCTCCGGACTCCGCTTCGGCGTCCCACCTCCGGGATTTCCGCCGGATTTTCCGGCGCCATTCCCGCTAGCAACAGCAGCACTGCCTCCCGCAGCGCCGCTCCTCGCGGTGACTCTTGAACCGCGAATACCGGCGGTGCTCCAGCTGGTTGCGCTCCTCCTGCCGTCGATTAATCTCCTTCCATTCTTGATCGCAAGATACGCAATAAGCGCGCCGATTCCAACGGCTAGACCCACACCGCTGGTCAACAAAACACGACCAAGTCCAGCTAGGCTTGCCGTCGGGCGACACGTCGGATTCAGCGCACGTGCTGTTTCGCGAGGAACGCTATAACGCGAATAGTAGTTGGTTCGCGTCGCGTGTACGGACGCGAGGGAGGGTGGCCACGTGGGGCATAGGAGACGGCTGATTGGCTGAGATCGGCGGGGGGCGTGACTGTAACGAGCTGTGACTGATCGGGTCGCCATTGGTCGCCCGGTCGTTTGACGGGTGCAAGGAACGGCACCGCTCCCCCTACCACCTTCGCGATTCACGGCGTGAATAGCGCGAGGCGTTGAAAGGCTAGAAGACGGCCATGTGTGGCGAAGGCACGAGGATGACGTCATTGGCTTCGACGACAACCAATACGATCGCTACCCAGCCCGCCTCGGACAAAGCTATCCAGTCCGCCGCTACCGGCGCCGGCGGCGACGCTTGGTCGCAGTTGAATCTGTCTCGTCTCGGACCGTGCTGCGTACGTGGCGAATGCTTGGTTGCTTGTTGAAAAGTGGTTTCGCGTTGGGGATTCCGACATTTGTGGTGGTGTTTGCACCGTAACAATCTCGCTATTGTGAAATCCGAAAAGCAGTGAACATGCATTTCGTAGTCTATATTTCTAGCCTGGAATCAGCAACTGCCCCCCTCTGCTGCTCACAGTACCTCACGATTATAATGTAAAAAACTGCATAATGTAAGCACTCGGATTAGGCAGTGGGTTTACACTGCACTCGAAGAATGATTAATCTTATTAAAGCAACTAAGTCCATGTTGTGCCCCCCCCTCTCTGGGTAACAACAGGGACGTCAATGGGTTCACTGACGGAAAGAATGATTTGGGTTTTTCTAGGTAAAATAAAGCAGTCGATGAGTTCACTGAAAACGACTGAACCAGGGATGCTCTGCAACCAAATCAATCCAATCAAAGGGAGTGGGCAAGGAAGAGAGGCAGACGAGCGAGGGATGTGGAAAGAGGATGGAAGGGAATACGAGGTGAGGGAAGCTAAAAAAGACAGGCAGACAGCAATCCCACCCACATCAGAACACAAGGGAAAAGTCACCAGACAGAAATGCACCTGGGAAGCAGTAAGAATCATGTTTGCGAGCCCATGTTCCTGCACATGCCCTCCCTCACACCTGCCTCGCTGCCTTACACTCCAACCCACATACCTCCCATGAACCTCATCCAACCGCTTACCACACCCACCATACCGACCAGAACCCACCTAACGCCTCCTCTGCAGAAACCCTCCTCTTCTGATCGCGATCCAGCATCCGCAGAATCAAGTCTTTCCCGTCCTCCGTTACGCCCCTCCACGCCGACCCCTGAAACCCCACCTCCTCCTCTTTAATCGCCCGCGCCACCCCCGCCTCCGTCTCCGCCCAAAAGGGCGGCACGCCGGCCAGCAGCACATACAGGACAACGCCCGCCGACCACACATCCGCCGGCGTCCCATACGACCCGGAAAGCACCTCCGGCGCGATATAAAACAGCGACCCGACGGCATCGCTCAACATCTTCCCCCCGGGCTTGAGGAACGCGGCGACTCCGAAGTCGATGACGCGCACGTCGGTGGGGGAGGAGGGGTGGGCGAGGAGGATGTTTTCGGGCTTGATGTCGCGGTGCACCACGTGGTGGCGCTGGTGGCAGCTCTGCAGCACGCCCAGCACCGCTCGCATCACCGCCGCCGCCTCCCTCTCGCTGTACCGCCGCCGCTCCTTGATTCGATCAAATAGCTCGCCGCCCGAGCAGAGCTCCATTATCAGGTGGATGGCGTGGGGGGTTTCGATGGGTTCTTCCAGGTGGATCACGTTGGGATGCGATTTGAGGAGGTTTAGGATGGCGACTTCGCGACGTACGTTTTCGATGTCGGATTTGGACTGGGGTGTGAAAGGGGCGGGGGGAGTGGGAGGACAAAGAAAAGGGGAGAGCATGGAACGGGACAGAGAATGTGACGCTTTCAATGTCGGATTTGGACTGGCGTGTGGAGGGGGTGGGAGCAACGAATGGGACAGAGCATGGGACAGGTTAGCACTAGGGAGGAGGAGCGCAGTGGAAGCAAGCAGTACATAACAAACGACAGCAGAAGCGCGAAAAAAAAAAAAAGAGAATGAGGGGACAAAACGAAGAGAGACGGAAGAGAAACAAGTGCACACCTTAAAAGCAGCCTTATTGATGGTCTTGCATGCCAGCCGCCTCCCTGTGCTCCGACACACCACCACCCTCGTCACCCCAAACTGCCCCGCCCCCAGCTCCTTCCCTCCCTCCACCTCATACCGCTCCTCCACCTCTCCAAACTCACCACCCAGCACGTTCACCCCCACACCCCCCACGCCCATGCCAGCAGCAGCCCCAGCAGCAGCGGCACTGGCGGCAGCAAGGAGTTTGGAGAAGGAGGAGAGGCCCTTGGCTGCGAGGCTGAAGAGGCGCTTGCGGCTCGCCTTGAAGAACTGCGTGCGGATTTGCAGCTCCGCCTCCTCCCACTGGCCTCGCTCGTCTGCTTCTGCATCCGCCTCACGTGCAGCTGGGTCTGAGGCGGCACCAGCACCAGCATCAGCAGCAGAATTGGCTGCAAGTCTCCCAAGTCTTGCCTCTGATCTTGCCTCCCACCGACCACTACCCTCTGCGTTTGCAGCAGCCTCGCCTGTAACAGCTGGCGACCCACCATCCCCTCCATCCTCCCTCCCTCCCGGACTCAATTCCTCCGGCTCGGTCCAGGTCGCCGCCCTCCTATGCCTGCAGCTCTCTCCGCCCCGCCCTGAACCATCCCCAGCCGCATCCCCTGCGCCATCCCCTGAAGAATTCCCTCTCCTTCTCTCTGCCGCACTGCTCGCATGCTTCACGAGCGCTCTCCTGGCCACTCTTTCAGAACCTACCCGTGCCTTGCCGTCGCCCCCTGCGGCTGTGTTCACCGGACTGCACTCACTGCCCTCATTGCTCGGGCTTCTCTGATTGCCCGGGCTGCTTGATGCTCTTTCTGCTTGCTTCCTGCTGCATCCCATCCCTCCTGCTGTTGAGTCCATGGATTTACTATGGGACCGATTTTCAGGTCTTCTCTGCGGCACTTCCCCTCTTCTCACACCCTCACCCACTCCCCTCACTTCTCTCGCTCCTCCTGCTGCTCCTCCCCTCCCTCTTCCCCCTCCCCTTGCCTCAATCCTGCCTTCCACCGTCCTGGCTCGGGATACCCATCCCAGTACCCCACCAGGCAAATCCTCAGCCTCGGCAGTGCAGGCTCGGCCCGAACCTCGACCCCGTTCGTCTAGCAATTGCACCCTATTCACCTCACCAACACCTTCCCTATCAGGAAAATACTCAGGTTCGGGGGATTTGCCTTCCTGGGGCGAGTCGTCTGCTTCGGCAGAGCTCTTGCTCCGGGGGTAGGTATGCCAAGCCTTGGAGGCAGGTCCGGTGGGTGAGGCGTGGGGGGGAATGCAGGTGGGGGAGAGTGGCGGGCGAGAGTCCTTCTTTCTACTCGCGCCCTGGAAGGCTGGTGGGGTTGGAGATGTGCCGTAGGGTTTCTCGGTGCCTTGCGAGGGGGAGTGAGGAGAGGGGGAATGAGGGGAGGGAGAGTGAGGGGAGAAAGGGTGGCGAAGGAGAGGGTGGGGAGAGGGCGAGAGAGGAAGTGGGGAGGGAGGAGAGGAGGAGGAAGGGCTCTGGTGCAGATCAATCTGAGTTCGAGGCGCGTCCGCGGGGGCGGCAGCAGCGAAGGGCGGGCGGGGCGACACGACTGACAGCGGCGGGGCGGAATCGAGAGGCATATCCGCTAAGCTTATCTCGCGCTCCCACCCGCTCGCCACAACCGTACTCGCTACAAGAGTTCTCGCTACAGGAACATCGTCATCGCGATCCGCCGCCCAGTCATCCGCGAATGCGGGCTCGCACCCCTCGCTGCCCCCTCTCCTCCTCTCGCGTCGCCTCTCCATCCCCGCGCGACCCCAGTCGTCCTCTTTAACTACTGACTGACCGTCACTAAGATCCATCGAGTCGCCTTTCCTAGTTGACCTTTCTATTGCCGACGCTCCGCGCAAAGCTTTAGGGCTACGGCTAGCAGTAACAATATTTCCGCCGTGAATCGCGCTACCGCTACCCGTAGTGTTACTGCGCTCCGCGGCCTGCCCGGGAAACCCGGGCGGGTGAAGACATCCAATATCGGGAAACGACACCGATTTTTTTACGTGCCCGTTTTTCTGCCCGAGCGGCTCGCCCTGCTGCCCGTGAAATGATTGCCGCTGCTGCCCGTGCAAGTTCCGTGCGGAGCAGCCGCCCGACGACGAAGAAAGCTGCGCGCCTTTGGGCGATCTGATCGCCTCCAGTCGACTCACGTCTTGCCAATGCGCCTCCTGACTCTCCCTGGCGGAAACTGCGCCTGCGCCCCAGATCGGCGCAGCGGGAGACTTAGGCGGAAGGAATGCCGCGGAAGGGGGCGGCGCGGCGGATGCTCCGAACGACCGAGTCGCGCCCCGGGAGATCGATCCGGGGGGCTTGGCTCCCGCCATCACCGATTGCGCGGACGCGAATGCCGCCGTCGCCACCGGCGTTGATCGCGGGCTGCGTTCCGCCGCCCCCACTCCTTGCCACGGGGTCCTGGCGGAGCCTGTCGCGGGGGAAGCGACTGTAACAATGTTACTGTCGCTTGCGTCGTCGATCTGTACCATCAGTGGGCAACGTCGCAACGACAGCGCCTGCGAAGTTTCCGATTCTCTCCTTTTCGTAACGGCGGCCGAATCATCTGGATCTAGCAACCCGGCTGTAGCATGATCGTGCTGCCGCAGCTGCTGCTGTAGCGTCTGCTCCCACGAGGGCGCATTAGCGAGAATCGTGGCCGCCCGGCTCTTCAACTGCTGGCGCCGCTCTTCCCTCTGCCGCTTCTCCTCCTCTTCCCTCTCCCGCCGGTCCTCCTCTTCCCTCCGTCGCCGCTCTTCCGCCTCCCGCTGCTCCTGCTCGAGTAGTTCTTGCGCGCGCCGTTCTTCCTCCCGCCGCTCCTGCTCTGCGCGGAACTCCCGCGCGCCTGGCATCCCCGCGGTCGCAATAATCGTCGCCGCGCGGGTTACCAGCTCCTGCTTTCGCCGCTCCTCGTTCCGCTGCCTCTCCAGCATCTCTTCCCGCGCTTTCTCAAGCCGCCCCGCCTCCTCCCGCTGCTGGCGCAACTCGTGCGCCGTCGGCTGGTGCAGCCGCTCCATCAGCTCCCGCGCTTTCGCGATGCGCTGCGCCGCTGCCGCCGCCGCCGCCTCCGCAGCAGATTCCGCCGCTTCCGCAGCCTCCGCCGCGGCGTAAAGCTCAGCAGCCGTGGGAGCGACCGGCGGAGGCGCATTCGCCGCCGACGCGGATACCGCAACCGCCGCCACCGCCGCCGCGACTCGCGCGCCCAGATCCGCTCCCGCTGACCCCGCCGCGGACGAGCGCCTGCGGAGGTTGCGCTCATGCGTTGCGCTCGATGTGGGGGGAGGTGCGGAGGAGGATTTTCCGCCAGCGCCCAGCGAAGCGGAGCGGGGGAAAGAAGGCTTCTGGCCGCGGGTTTGCGGACGGGAGCCGGTGGGGGCGAAGGCACGGGGAGCGGGGGCGGGGGAGAGGGTGAAACCAGACGGTAAATCCGCGCATGCGGTGCCCTGAAAGTCCGCGCATTGCTGAGGCAAATCGAAGGAGCTCCCGCGGTAAACAGGGCCCGAACCCGAGGGGATCCGTGTGGGGCGGCGATCGAGCGCTGACTGCATGATCGAGCTTCACGTACTAACGGGTCGGGGGGAGGGGGAATGCAATCTATCGACACGCAGCACAGACACGAACGCGTACGTGCGCGGTTGGCTGCAGGTATTCCGTTAACTGAGTAGATTCGAAGTCGGCTTGACAGCAGTGGTAACGCAGGATTCAGAATGGTGGATGAACGGTTCTCGGGAAGGGTTCAGCATTGCGAAAGGTGGAACCGCGAATCCTCGGAAACATCTAAGTGGGGAGAGCTGTAGCTTGGCTGCGGGCCGGGTCTGACTGAACCGGGGAATGCCGGTTTGACGACCAGTTTCACCACCTCCTAGGTCTCAAACGAGTCAGAGTCAAGGTCAGTATGTATTTAAATCTCATTCCGATGATGCGAGACGCGGTAAATGGTGGAGATGCCACGAAGTCAACCGTGTGAGTCATGAAGTTACCTCTCACCATACTGTGGAATTTGCGCGTGAGGTGCAGCACAGCATGAAAGGGGCACATCAGCGACGCGGAGGCGGACCGTAGGTTGCTGCTGCTGAGGTGGAGGTATGCAACAGCCATGGATCGTCGTCGTACACGGTCCGCAGTTCGTGGAGTTTGTTTGACCCACACTTGCACTTAGTGTGTATTTCCGTCTCAGAAAAAAATAGAGTGCGCATTGCGGGATTCCTCTGTGTTTGAGATAACAAATGACTGACGTTCTCAGAGTTTAAGCACTACTTATAGCTTGTTTTAAAGCATCTATGCTTTTTTGGTAAATAAGACCCTGTCCTCTCTCCAGCATTTGGGATGCTCCAGTTTTGAGAGCTAGTTCGGGTCACATCAACCGCGCCTTGTACACAGGGCTGTCGATTGGTTTGGAGCCAGAACTTGAGAGGCTGAGGTGCCCCAAAAGTTGCCCTGAAATTTACGGGCTGAGAGCAAACCTGGCACTTGAAATCAGGGCTACCAACTTTTTTGCACTTTCGCTAAGGAAAACCTTCATCTCTTCGGGTCCGTCCGTTATCCTAGGAAAACTACTAAGAGCCAGCTAGGCAATAGGCTGAGGTACGAAACATGTCGATGAATTTGACGGGGATGGGAAAAGGAAGAGGGGAGTGGCTGGGAGGAGGTGGGGGGACTGGTGAGGGAATGGGAGGGAGGGAGGTATTAGTATGGGACGATAAGGGCTAACCGCGGGATCTGCACTTGAAATCCGGGTTAGGCCCACAACCAGCACTTTGCGGGGACGGGCTGCCTTCAAAGCCAACCCTTAAAATTCGGAAGCTGGGCCGGACCCAACCCTTAATGTTCAGGGCATTAAGGGCATTTGCCCTTGAATCGTCAGCCCTGCTTGTACACCGTTGGTGCATTAAACCCCTCCTTGGTCAACACAGGAAAATCGCGCAGCGGGAAAGTTTACCACATCGTGATGGTTCAAATTTCATGGGCAGCAGGGAACCACAACGATGGCTGGCTGGCTTGGCTAGTCGCGAAGGAAAGTGTGGATTTCTGGTATTTTCGATACTCTGGAGTTCTGATGGAGGAAACTGTTCCTCGGATGGCATGTTTGCCATCCAAGAGGGGCTCACATTGTTTGCTTATGGGTAGCGCTACGAGACAAATGCCTGCGTGGCGCCTATGGGTGGATGGAGGTTCTAAAACGGTGGAGCACGCAAACCGCTATAGAATGCACAGCATCTTTCTTTGGGGAAGTATATACCGGGTGGGTATTACTGGAGATCTATATTTTCTACTTACAAGTTTACTCATATAGTGATACTTCAGACAGATTCTAACACACATTCGGTTGAGTGTCATGATTCATGTCTGCTTGCAAAACAAATTGCCAATTTCCCATCACTACTTTACTAAAACATCTTAGGAGCAATAAATTGACGCAGAGGTTTATAGATAACTAATCCCTAGGGATACAGGCCAAGATTGAGATTCATCAGCCTTAAAACCGGGGTGCACATTCAGCTGAATGTGCATCAAAGGTTATCCCTTGACTGAGTGGGTTACGAGGTGTGCTTTCAACCCCTTCAAGTCGAAATTCGTTTCCCCCCTCCCCCGCAATTTCGTTTCCCCACGCCCCCGCAATTTCATTTCCCCCTCCCCGGCGAAATTCGTTTCCCCCCTCCCCCGCAATTTTGTTCCCCCCCTCCCCCGCAATTTCGTTTCCCCCCCCTCCCGCCAATCTGTTTCATCCCTCCCGCCATTCGGTTTCACCCACTCCCGCCATTTCACCCCCTCCCGCCACCTACGAAATGCCCGAAGCTCTAGCGGAATCATTTTTTTGTCGCCCCTCGTGAGCCAATCACTGTTTTTCTCCAAACCCCCTTCCCAACATCTCAAGCCAAACCGCGTTGAATGTGCACCCTGGTTTTAAACACGGACGTCGGGAATGTGTTCAGGTTGACGCCAGGGCCTATGGTATCAGGGCAAAATACCCTCATTGTCAGAATGTGTTACCGTCTAGCCCCGGGTATAAGCGCATATGCGCTTATAATAAATTCAATTTTTTTAGGGGTGGCGCTCGTAATTGAGCAACGGCAATAAGCGCCAGCGCTTATATAATGTCAAAAGTAAATTTTGTTTTTAAAGGTACGAAATTGAAGCCCTCAATAAGGCGAACAAGACCATGTACTGTGCGCATGGGATCGTGCATGAAATCCCGCGAAAATAGCTGCGACTCGATTTCCCACCGCACAAAGCATGTCCCGGAGCAACGCACCTATCAGCGATGACATGCATCCTGCCGTGCGGCCCAATAGGAATGTCATGCGCTGCCAGTGTGCAACATTTCACCCGAACCTTCGAGAAGGGGGTGAAATATCCCTGCCAGCGCAGCAGATACGTGCCGCGATTCCCTCATTTGCGGGTTTAGGCAGGGGGGTACCCGACTATCCTTGAAGAGGACCTCGAGCCACACACCAGAAGGGGTCCACTCCAAACCCTCATTTCTTCTCCAATTCTCTCACTTTCACATTCAGATTCTTGCTCTCTCCCGCCTGGCTGCGGAAGCCATGGCACAATTTTCTGGCACTCATTTCTTGTTCAAGAGGAAACCTATCAGTAAACCCGCCTTTGTAGTTGACGAGGATGGATGGTACTCGCGTGTCCCACCTAGCCCACCACAGCCACCACAGCCTCCTGCGCCGCCTGCTCCTCCTGCTCCTCCTGCGCCTCCTGCGCCTCCTGTTCCTCCTGTTCCTCCTGTTCCTCCTTCTCACCCGTTGCCGGTGTCTCCTGTTCACACGGGCAATCTTCCCGTGCTCATGCTTCTGCACCCATCGGCGTTCGACGAATACATCTCGGAGCCAGAGTCCAACAAGCCCATAGATGAGTGGGTGGCTGTTGATTATGTGCCAGGACAGCGCTGGGGCAGGCCCGACGATTGTACGTGGGACAAATATGCAGTCGGCGCCGACGACAATGTCCCTGACGCTGAGGAGGAGTGTCGCGAGGAGGGCGGCAAAGGCGCCGAGGGTGGCAGGGAGACTGGCACCGAGGCCGGCAACGATGAGGATGTGTTTCCCGAAGGTGCGCCGGGCGGCGACGAGGACGACGGTGTTGAGTACTGGTCACGCGACGGGCTCCCCGAGAAGTTGCCGACACCTACCTACCCTCCTACTAATCGCAAGCGACCCCACCCTTCTTCACAGAACTGTGATGCCCGCCCCCCCTCTCCCAGGCATAAGCTCAACGATTACAAGCGTCAGGCCTATACCGTCGCCGAGAAACTGAAGTACATAGCGCTTCTGCAGGTGGCGATTTCGGTGTGTGCTTTGGCTCGCGAGAGTGGTATACACTGCAAGTGCCTCTCCAACTGGAAGCGTTCAGTGGAATTCTTGAAGGAAGCTCACTCCGCAAGGAAGCGGATGCACGGTCACGGGAGATCGTCGTGGTACCGACCGATGGAGATGAAGGTGTACGAGCGGCACCTCGAGTGGCGCCGCAAAGGAACTGCCGTGTCGGTCGTGTCAGATTTATATGACATAGCTACTGTAGGCTATAGTGGGGTAGCACATATGGGGTACAGTTTTCTAGGGTTTACATTTGTACCCAACTTTCCCTTAGTCCATCCATTCTCGTTTCTATTTTAACATGGTATCGAGCAGGTTCCCTCGTGGGAACTGTTCCTAGGGCCCACCAATTCGACATTTTTTTTCTGCCCGGAGCGCGCTCAGTCCTAGCCCGAGTCGCGCTCCCCCCTCTCTTTTTTTTTCTCGCCCCGTCGCGCCGCCCTAGCGGCCCTGTCGCCTGCCTTGCGGCCCTCGCGCCGCCCTTCCTGGCCCCGACCCGCCGCCCGGCGGCCTCGTCGCCTACCCCGCGGCCATCGCGCCGCCCTTACCCGGCCCCGATCCGCCGCCCTGCGGCCTCGTCGCCTACCCAGCGGCCCTCGCGCCGCCCTGCGGCCCTGACGCCGCCCTTTCCGGCCCCGGCGCCTACCTGCGGCCCCGACGCCTACCTGTGCGGCTCCGGCGCCTACCTGCTG